AGGCTGTTTCTGGCTGAATGTTGCTAAGTACTCAGGTCTTCATCTGTCAGCCTGGGTCAGAAATGCAGCTCAACGCTGTAGAAACTGGTAAGTAATGTCAGTTCCATTTACTACATCAAACGTCACAGATTGAGAGATTAAGGTGCCCTCAAGAGCCAGTCATTTTTCTTAGTCATTCACAGACATGTGTAATCCTTAATATAACCTAAAAATGGGCATTACTATCTGTAATTTTACAACTGGGGGGGGGGGGAGGAAATTCATCAAGATGTGATGTCATTACATCATTTGCCCTAAGTAGGCAGACAAGCCACTGTGTAAAGATCATCCACACCCAGTTTCTTTCCATTAAACTCCAGGGAAACCTCCCTGCAAATTTCCCCCCCGAGCAGGTATGTTATCTTTACAGCAATTCTGCCTGTGGTAACTCTGGAGTTTCAAAGAGTAAAAATCTCATGCTCACCGGATTAGCTCAAGTCTTGGGAGAGAATGAGTTGGAAAGGACTGAGCTGAGAGAAAACCAGAACAGAGACGGTGCCTGTCCTGGAGAAGGCCAACTCGTCCATGTGCTTGGAGGCTATCTTCAGAAGCTACCTTAGTTACCAGCTGAAACCATCATCATGGAAAACAGAAGGTAAAACTTTCTCCTCACACCAGTAAAGACCTATGCAAACCCAGTGAGCCAGATACCAGGGCACCTGCTTTGACATAGTTCTTAGGATTTTTTTTTTTTTTTTTTTTTTGGACAGCTTTTGAAAATCAAAAGTTTACAACAGATCACAAAAATAAGACCAAAAAAAATCTGTATAAATCCTTTATTTGGTGGTGTTTGTTCCAGCTCTTAAAGCCTAATGATGGCTAGAGAGAGAGTTCGAGGCCTGAAAATGGACATCCTAGCTAAACTCAATACAAACCATTTATTTTAGAAGTAAGGAGGGTGTTTGTAGGCTACTAAGACTTCCCCTTTCGAACATGTTTTATAAAGAGAGAAAAGAATTGTTTTCCAAAGACCAATATAAAGCCACTGCAAAATAACATTCTATACCAACTCATTTAGTATTGTCATTAATAAGATTTTATAGTGTGTACATATAAATATGTATGTAGACATTATTGTGTGTACGTGTACATGTGGTATATACATGCTACTTGAGCTGTCTGAAGAATGATTCTCATGTGCAATGTTTTACAAAACTCCCATGGTAACACAGACACCTATTTTACAATGAACAATATTCCCAAAAGGTAGGGTTTTTTTTCCCTCTGATTTCATGCACCATTTATTTTAACCATGAAATGCAAATGTCTTGAAGTTAAAGGAAAATAAAAATAAAGGAAACATAATTAGTACATTTAAAGCCATAATGTGATTTGTTCTGGAAAATCCAGGAGGATTATAAAGAGGCCTCCGAGCACAGAGAGACGAACTCGGAGGGTTCTTCCACTGAATGTTTAAATGAGGGTAATGGAGGAAGCTCCATCTCACAAGCCACAGACAGCTTCACCACCAGTTAAGGAGCACACATGCCACTATCCAGTCAATATAGTCAACTGCTGGGGCAATATATCAGGATTTTAAAGAGTTCCCTTTCTCCATCTGCTAATGCTTGGCAAGAAAATTGGCTAAAGAAAAAAAAAAAGTAACACAATATTTTTAATGGATTTTAGAATTATTTTGTTTAAAAACCTAAAGCTCATTGACTTGAAATGCTATTGATTTTAGACTATATTTTATTACTCATCCAAAAACACTACCTGGAGGGGGGGCAGGGAGATTTTATTTAAGTACAAATAGCCTTCTAAATTATACTACTCAATGTATAATTCATACATAATAATACAGAACTCTAAATACATAAAACTTATTGCTAAGGATCAGAGAGAATAAAATCCTTGCCACTTCGGAGGCAGCCAGACACTGGCCCTACCAATTATAAGCTGTGATATAGTAAACGTGACCAATAATGAGGGCATTTTTGGTTTTTTAAGGAACAAAAGGGAGGATTGCCGTTTTCTACCACGTGTCATTCCACCAGGACATACTGGAAATCCTTTAGCATGAAATCCTTTCAGACACAACCCACCATGGCAGAGACAGAGCATGAGGCTCCTGTTGGATACATACAGGGAGTCCTATTTTGAATAGCGGAAGTAAACCAGCCCTCAGAGAAATCTGAAGGTCCATAAGCTGGGAAATACATCATTTGAAAGAAAATTTCCCATCAAAGGACTAGCATGGCTCCTGTAGATGGGGGGGGGGGGGGGGGGGGGAGGGAGGTCGGGCATTATGAACGTGGTGCTTCGCCATCTTCTTCCCAGCAACCCTAGCTCCCGTCTTCCGACCCATCTCAGTGGGGCTTGCCTCTTGGAATCCTTAATGAAACAATAAAGTAGGGATCAAGAGAATTCAGAAAGGCTTGGGCTGCTGGAAAGGTAACCATTTTCTCACGCTGGCTTCTGTAAGCCATCTTGTTCGTTTAAATGCCAAGATGTCTTAATCTGTCCCAGGTGGTATCACCAGGGGCAACACCATCGCTGGTCTGAGACTAAGGTTCCTTGGTCAAGTGACCCGCAATAAAGATCTGTCAGGCAAACAGTTAACGGATGCAAACTATAAGAAAACCACTGTCCCTGCAGTGCGATACATTAGAACAGAAAGGGCAATGGACAATGTACGTTTAAAAAAATATCCACAATTTCCCTCGCTAAAAAGGCTGATATAAATGGGGGTGTGGTGGGGGTAATTGAAATCTGTAAGAATGTGTCAGATGTGATGGCCTGGGGGGGGAATAAAAAAAAAAGAAAAAGAAACACGCACATGACCAAGACGGAGGGCGGGGAGGGGGGTGTCATTTGTGTCCAAAGATTTCATGAAACATTTAGGGCAAACGCCTTTGTTCCTGGGCTCGGGAGGGGAGTGGGTGGGTGGATGATGGGGAGATCAGATGGGGCTGCCTGGCCCTCCACACCCTGCTCTCCGGCGCATGCGCGAGGCCAAGACAAAGGAATAGGTAATTACAGTCCCGATTCATTCATTTTGCCCGCAGTACTGGAGGTCTGTGAGCCTTTGCTATGTTCCCAGGGGTGGAGATTAATCCACACCCCGACAGCAGCCCCTTGAATACTCATGTTTTATTTTAACCCCGCCACGCAAGTGGCCAGTGGTCTTAGCCGAGACAGAGGTGTGCCAACCACCCCCCCTCCCTGCACAAAACACTGAAAATTGCACCCATGTGCGTGGTGTTCCTTTCAACAGAGCGAAAATCACTGGGGCAGAGGCCGTCCACCGAGTTCGTTTCAAGGCGGAAATGTCTCGGGGGAAGCAGATTAGGAACAGGGCCAAGCGTTCGATGAATATTCATGAAAAGAATGCGGTCCCCAGCCACGCATTGTGTGCTATCGCATCCAGGCATTCTGCAATTTTTCCTTCTAATGGTGAGGGGCAGCGGGAAGCGGACGTTGGGTTGTAGCGTTTGAGCTACGGGGCAAAAAAAAAAAAAAAAAAAAAAAAAAAAAAAAAAAAAAAAAAAAAAAAAAAACCCTATAGAAATCTTGGCTTGCAGCAGGGTTGAGCCCGTTCGGGCCGCGCGCTGTCAGGTTCAAGCCCACACCCCCCAGGCTGGGGCGGCGGTGGAGGCGCGCGGCGGCGGCGGCGGCGGCGGCGGCGCGTTCTCTGAGCGCAAGGCTCAAAAAAAGAGAAAATGCTGGAGATGTCCACAGGTTAGTGGGAAAACAGCTCCGCCGCAGACCGGTCTGGGGCTTTGATCTACCCCGGACGTGCACACCGCCTTCTGAACCTCGTGTTCCTCGGTTACCCCAAACCAAGATCCAGGACTCGGCGCGGGCCAAGCCAACCCCCGCCCCTTCTGATCGGACCAGATTCCGTGTCTTCTTTCTCCCTCCCCAACCCCACCCCCATCCTCCATCTTCTGCTGCTGCGCCCCTCACACCGAGCGAGCGCTTTCGCCGTGGCTGCGCCGGTTCCGATGACAGAAGGCTGGGGTCAGCCCACAGAACCGTGGCTGGCGGATTCCATGCGTTTAAAGGGTTTCGCGTTCGCTATTTCCCGGTCACCAGCAGCTTCCCACCCCTCCCCTCCCTCCCTTCCGAACTCGGTTCCGAAGCCTCGCCACCACCCTCCTCAAGCTCCCCACCCTACGAAAGGCCGAAGCTGTCCACCTGGGGGGGAGAGCATCGCCTGGGATCCCCCCAGTACGACAGAGCCCCCCCCCCCCATAGAGAAACCCCACGCCCACTGTGTCTCATCCCCGGCCGCACCCGGCTGCACCGATGGGGAGAACCCTGGGCTTCAGGGTGGGGCGGGGCCCGGGGGGAACCGATGGCCCGGGAGTCCGCTGTGGTGTTGGGGACCCACGGCGCGCCTCCTTACCTAGGCTTTGGGTGCCTGTGCCGGCCCTGGGTGAGCGCGGTGCCTCCAAGGGGCCCGGGTGGCTGGCGTCGTCCGGCCCGGTGCCTGGCTGCTGGGCAAAGGCTCTCTCCCGGCTCGACGGCGGAGCCCGGAGCGTGGAGCGAGTTGGAGCGCTGCCGCCGCCGCCGTCGCCGCTGCCGCTACTGCCGCCGCCGCCGCCGCTGCAGCCTCTGCATTTCTCGCTCGCTCCCCCTCCCCTTCCTGCCCAGCGCCCTCCCCCCCGCGCGCGTCCGCCCGCCCAGCTCCTCCGCTCGCTCGCCGACCCCGCCCGCCTCGCGCCCGCCCGCCCTCCCGCCCCTCCGCTCGCTCCTGGCCCGCGCCCGGCTCCCCGCGCCCCCGCCCGCTCCGTCAGCGCCCCGCTAACCCGGGGGTCCCCAACTTCTCTCCTCCTGCAGCCCCTGCGCCCCGAGATGCCCCGTGATCCAGCGCCAACCCCCCCCCCCCACACACACACACACCGTCACCACACCCGCACAGTCACCCCCACCCTCGGCTATCCTCATCCAGATCCCTCCCCTCCAGCCTGGTGCCTCGCCCGCCTCCCCAACAGCTTCTGCCAGTGCCCCCTCCTATCCCCTCCTTGCACGCCCCTCCATCCCCCCCACCCGCGGCGGGACTGTCTGTGGATTTCTCTCCTCTCTCTCTCTGTCTCACACACATTTTATTTGAAAGCATTGAATAAGTAGCTCAGGCTCTCGCTCAGACTTAAGGGGCTGATGAACTACGCCCCCCGCCGCAGCCAGCTTTCTCTGCACCCCAATCCAGCCCGCTCCAGACGTCGGGCTGAGATTCTGCTATCACGTAGGCAGTGAGGTTGTGGGGGGAGACGCGATGCTTCCCTTGAAACCATCGAGACAGATGTCCGCGGGTTTTAGGGTGTACCCCCAAGGCAAGCACATCTGGGGCGTCTCCAAGCAGATGCTCGCCCTCGGGGGCCGACCAGGAGGCTGCAGCTTTGCGAGGCACCACCGCCCAGAACCAAGGTCCGGGTGGAAGGGTGGGCGGCACCGCTCCTCGGGGGATGCTCTCCCGACTTCGGAGAGGAAGAAAGGAAGAAATGCACCCTAGGAAAAACGGGCTTCGACTTTTTGTGCCTATGCTTTCATGGAAGTCACCAGCTCTCAGGCTGCTTAAGATGCTGCTCAGAAGCGCACCCAGACAGGCTGTGGCCAGCCTTGCTAAGTCCGCGTGTCCCGGTCGGCGACCACTTAGGGTAACACCGGGTTACACAATAGGGTTAGGAGATATGCTCGCCATGCTTACCTGTTGGCAAAAGGGAAAAAAATGCAAAATCAAATTTTAAATTTGGAAAATAATACGTGGTGACATCTTTTAGAACCACGCACGGCTTTCTTCAGACAAAAGCCAATTTTACCATCCCGAAACCCATGGAGCCCTGGAACTTCCGTTCGCAGCACTTTGGCGCCCTCTGGCTGTGTCGGGACTGCTCGCTTGTTCCGCTTCGTCCCAAAAGAACAGGGGGAATGGAAAGGCATGTTGTTCTCTTGGTTGGATCTACCCTCAGAGAGGAGCATGAATTCCGAAGGAGCTTGCCCTCCACGGACGGTCGCGATGACAAAACATAACCATATTTAAAGAGACAAACGCCAAAGGTAAGTGCCTGCCGTCAGTATCTCACCTGGGAAAGATGAGTCTCCCCCCCCCCCCGGCAGAAAAATAAATAATAGAACTTTAATAAGAGCGTTAATGGAAGTGTCAAATCTTAATCAAAGAGTGATGGGGAAAAGATGAAAATGTTTTGTGGTGGCTAGTTCTCGTTCTTCTCCTTCTTCTCCTCCTCCTCCTCCTCCTTCTTCCTCTTCCTCTTCTTCCTCCTTTTCCTCTTCCTCTCCCTCTTCCCCCTCTCCTCCCCATCCCCATCCCTCTCTTCCCTCCCTCTCTAGATAGATAGATAGATAGATAGATAGATAGACAGTCAGATAGATCTTTTTTCAACCTCTCTCTTCTCCCCCTCCCTTCCTCCCACTGCTTAAACCCATTAAGAAATCAGACAGTACAAGAACAGAAAATCAGATCACAAATGACATTTATTCAATTGAACATTTCTTTCTTTTATATCAGTATACCACCTATGAAGCTATGCCTATTTGAGATGCTGTGGTTCCCACACCAGAACCAGTTATGACAACCAAAACTGTTTCCAGATATGGCCAAATGTCCTCTGGAGGCTAAAACCATACCAGGTTGAAAGCCAGCCCATGAGTTATTTTCAAACTTCTTAAAGCAAGCCTCTATTTCACTCTATTAATAAGATGAATGTTTGTAATTAATGATATTTACTGTTTGCTAAAGGAATTAAGTACTGTGTAGAGATGGGTAGGGGCGGGTGGGTGTTACATGGTGTGGCATCACTCGCTTAGGATTCAGGTACTTTTTATCCCAGTGATCATCTTAAAATTAATAGACATTTCTACTGTATTTTTAGGATAAGCCTGTAGGTATTGTCTTCCTTTGTGTATCTTCGTGTTTAATTTTTCAAAAATAACAGATAACTATTGTTCAACACCTTTGGTGCTTCTGGCTAGGCTTTTAGAATGGAGAGAGAAAGCAAACCTTCCAAAGGTGTGACTGGAATGCAGATCACTGGTTACCATGGAAACAGGAAGCAAAAGCTTGTACGGATGTACAGAATTGTAAGCCTCTCTCCTTGATGCTGTCTCCCATTAGATTTAGTTGTTTGCCCCCTTTTAATAATATATACATATATGTGTGTGTGTGTGTGTGTGTGTGTGTGTGTGTGTGTGTGTGTGTGTACACAGAGAGAGAGAAAGGGGAGCAGGCCAAGGGTGTGTTCAGTTATGGAACACTTACCTGGGCTGCTGGAGGCCCTGACTTCCTGACTTCAATCCACAGTATGACACAAGTGAGTACATGCACTCAGGTATGGGGGAGATTCAATAGAAACAGAGAGAACAGTGAGGGGTGGGTTAGTTTCATCTTTGGCTACTCCTCTAACAGCTCAGGGCACACTCTCTTCCAAACATCTCTAAAATACACACGCGGAGAATTAGCAATCGAGCATATGAAGCTTTGAATTGTAGGAAACTGTTGTATCGTGAATGTTACAGAGTAATGAATTTGGGAGCTCCTAGGGTTAAGGATATGATTCATGGTAAATTTAATTAACTTTCACCATCACAGCCATGAAAAGGGGATGCTGCCCTTTCCAAAAGAATGAATGTTTTCCCCCAAAAAACAAGGCTAGACTACACAGCTTGTATACTGAATCACAGTCATTTTAACCTGCCTGTGAAACTTGTTCCAAGAAGCCCTAACCTATATTATAAAGGTTTTCATCAAAAAGACAAGTTGCTCCATAACTATTTATTTTTGCTAAATGATTTGCCACAAAATTGCCTACAACATAAGGGACTCTTTGTCACTAAAATTACCCAGTTCCAAAAAAAAAGTCACCCATATCTATTCAGCCTTTTGAATTGTGGCTCTGTTGAATCCCTGACATTGGTTTATGTAGAAAGACCTAACCTCACCTTCCAGCTTCGCCTGCCTCCCCCACCAACCACCAAGGCCTGGCATCAGCCTCAGTTTCCCGCATAAAACAAGATGAATGAAGCAAAAGCACAGCGACAATAGTGTTAGTCCAGCCACCTTTGCTTGAAAGGTCTTTGAACTATTCACTGGAGTGACCCAACCCCCCCCCCCCCAGAGACCCATTTTGAAAGTAAATTCCACTCTACTAGTATAAAATTTCAGCCACAGGACTAAGAGATCTCATCTACAAATTACAAGCAAAGGGTTAGTTGGTATTATACATGAAAGTGCCTGATTTCCCTCCTATATACATTTAAGATTTTCTTCAAAGGAAAATATCAACATCTGTGTGTTGGTTTCATCCTTGTCTTTCCCCTCTCCAACCCCAGCCTCACTGTTCATAGGAAAGGGCGCCCTTGGCCTTTAATCAGTGCTATGAGCCGTCTTGCTTCCCAGATAACATTTGGCAATGTCATTAGGGATTGTCACGTGAGAGTTGGAGAGATGGAACTGGCATCTACTGGACAGAGGCCTGGGGACAGCCCCTCAACAGCTATCCAGCCCAAAGTGTCAATCATGTCAAGAATGAAAAGGCTGAGAAACTCTGGTTGAAAATTGAGTATGACATTCTACCCAGTTGGGCAAGGCAAGATTTTTTTTTTTATTTTGTTTGGATTGATTTGTTTGGTTTGGGTCATACTGGGTACAGAGGAAGCTGCTTTTTGCTAGGGTGTCTTCCTCAGACAGACTTGGGTAGAGTTCCCTCTACCCACCCTTCAAGGCCCCCACCATCCCCTGGAACAGAAATCAGGCAGGTTGCTTCAAGAGCAAGGCCAAAGATTACCACTGAGGAATTTGAATTCCATTCCCTGTTACTACAGGCTGGGTAACTGAGAGAAAACAGCTTAACTCCAGTTTCCCCATTTTCCCTGCTCTTTGTGTTTGTAAAAGGATAGCTGCAAACCTGAGTAGACACTTGTGTATGAGGAAGCTCGGGGCTTGAAGTGGGAGGGACTGGCTGGTGTTAGCATTGTACTAGCAGAATTTTCTCCAGATGAAAACAACCTGAGTCCCCCTGAATAGTTCTCACTCCCTTCCATCACCCATAATTCCCGCACAAATCCCTCTGTTCCCAAGTACATTTCTATTCGCCAGCACTTTGTGTGAACAAATCACATAAAACCAAAGGGAAAACAGGGTCTGCTTGCCAACCAGCAAGGGCTCTTCCAGGTGAGGTATGCCTGTTGCCGCAAGACACCAAGCAAGGGATTAAAGGGCAAGGCCTTTAGTCTAGGGGAAATAGTCCCTAATCTGGGGGCTCTCTTCCCTCTTAAATCCTTTAGAGGATAAGCTATTGTGGCATAAAGAATGTTGTAGAACATCCACTCGCTTTTACCGAGGCTGTTGAAGGAGCCTGTGGAGCCAGGAGAGCAGTAAGTCTGGACAATCCGCTGGTGGGATGCGCTTCTACTCACAAATCTGCTCCTGCAGGGTTAAACTAATGAAAACACTTCTGATTAAAGTCCAGTGCAAGGAATGGTGCCTGAAATAAACTGGTAAATGCAAAAATCAAGTTGCCAGCAGAACGTCAAGGACTCACCCTTCTGTTATAAGCAAATCAGAAGGTACTGCATCGCCCACTCCAAGTGTAAGCACTGCCCAAGTTCCAATGTCTACCAATCTCTGCTCTCCCAATGAATCCCCTAAGATCCCAAGCAGTTTCTTGCCTCTGAAGCCCAGGCAGCTCCTACTCAAATAAAGGTGAATGAACATCAGAATGAAGGGTTTTTTTTCTCCAAATAAATAAAGTGATATGAAACAAGAGAGCCAGACTGGAAATGTATGAAGGGGAAGCAAACCCCATGTGTGAAAATCAAATGGACATTTGCATGAATGTGCCCAGAGAACTTGACACAGTTGGAAAATCCTGGCCCTCACGCTAGAGTATCGGTGTTCTTGGAAGATTTTTTTTGTTTGTTTCATTTTCTTTATTGATGTTATCAATACCAGGCACAAATAAAGGTGTCAATAACAAGCTCTCATGTGCCTAAAGCAAATTGCTGCACAATGTGTAGAGTATTGTCTCATTGAGGTTGTAGAGAAATACAGGGCGGGTGTCTGCAGGGTTGTCCCCCGATTACTGACAGTGGTGCTCCCCAGGAATTTATGTTACTTCTGAAGTGGGGTGGAAGGTAACTTAGCTTTCTGTGCTGTCTAATTTTATGTCAACTTGACACAAACTAGTGTCATCTGGGAGAAAAGAATTCCAATTGAGAAAGTGCCTCCATAAGATGGGGCTGTAGGCAAGCCCATAGGGAATTCTCCTAATTAGTGACTGATGGGAGAGGGTGCAGCCCATGGTGGGTGGGGTCACTCCAGGCTGGTGGTCCTGGGCTCTATAAGAAAGCAGACTGTGCAAACTATAAAGAGCATGCCAGTAAGCAGCATCCTTCCATGGTCTCTGCATCATCTCCTGCCTCCAAGTTCCTGTCCTGTTTGAGTTCCTGCCCTGACTTCCTTCAGTGATCAACAGTGATGTGAAGTCATAAACAAACTAAGGCCTTTCCCCCTTCCCTTGGTTTTGGTCACTGTGTTTCATGACAGCAATGGGAACCCTAACTAAGACCCTTTTCAAATACTCTTGAAAGACTCTTGAGACAAGACCAGCTGCCTGGTAGAAGCAGAAACTAGCCGAGCTGCCTGGAAGAGGTTTAGACCAGAGCAATTTGGAAAGGATATTCTCCAACTTGTTGAACTGCTTGCAGGCTGTCCCAGCTTTTGGAGCTGTCACTCACGCTGGGGTGAGCTTTGGTGACGCAGCTCTCTTTGACTCATTTCTACTCCTGTAAGTAACCCATCACCTGGACTCTTGTAAGTGACCCCAGTAAAACTCACTGGTTTGCAAGCTGGACTTTGGTGTTTTGATCAACTTATGGATTAATAGAAATGGGTTAATTTAAAATATAAGAACAGATAGCAAGAAGCCTACCATGGTCATACAATTTATAAGTAATATAAGCCTCTGATGCCGTGTTATAAAATTCTATGTTTAATGAAGAATTTTTGCAATTGGCCATTCGTTGCTTTGGTGACTAGAATA